CCGCCATATTGTCCCACATTTATGGCAATGCTATGGCATAAATCTATCAACGAACAGGTATCTAGAAGTTTCTCTTTGTTGCAAGTTTGCCACTTACCACCACCTTAGCGAGTTGGCTGCATGCAGTAAAACAAGTTCGCCCCCAAAACATTTCAAATCGTTTCCTTGCAGTACAACGTTGACAACTGTTGACATTCTAAGAGACCATAATATGTTTGGATCAACATGAAACTTTACAGTCAAATCATATCAAAGTTCGATCAACATGCAAATTACCAGCAGTATCACATAATATGCGACTATTGCACGAGTATTACGAAGCCACTGCATTGTCAATCTCAGACATGCATTGGTACGAGTTTGCCACCATTGGGACAGTATTGCGCACGCGCCGTCCCAAGATTTCTGGCATTGCGTTTAATTTGATGAACTCTTTGATCATGGTTGACAGTGCCTCACTTTTTTTGCTTCAGTTAAGGAATTTAGTTAGAGATTCTCAATGGGGTGGGGTCACATGGACGGTTCACGGTTAAAATAGGCTCTTTTGACGTTTGATAATTAAATTTTGGGTCATTTGATGGTTGACTGTTAATTTTTTGGAATTTCGTTTATAGGAGGAACTAACCGCGCGAATTTGGCTGTAATTGCTCATAATGACGCGTTTGTAAAGAACTGTTAATTAATAACATCTTTTATCAATGAATTAATTTGGATATATCAACAAAGTTGAAATGGTAAATTGGCCACCGTAATGATTACAAAAGGTGACGTTTCGAGCGTTAGCCCTTAGAGGAATTGTGGGTTGTGGAGCTACGTTATTGGTGGGAGCATGGCAACAAGAAAAACATGAATAAATTTGGATATATCAACAAAGTTGAATTGGTAAATTGGCCACCGTAACGATTACAAAAGCTGACGTTTCGAGCGTTAGCCCTTAGAGCGTTAGCCCTTCGCTCCGACGAAGGGCTAACGCTCGAAACGCCAGCTTTTGTAATCGTTACATTGGCCAATTAATTTTACCAAATCAACTTGATAGATATTCTAGTGTTCTCGGATAAGAACGAATAAACCGTAGGCCCCGTCTCCTGCAGGGTTAGGGGTAGGAGACGTTAATTTCCAACGCACGAGATTACTGTGTGGTGGATGTCCTCCCCTGGGGGGGGATGGGTGGGAGAATGGCCCTGAAAAGCCCCCATGGGGAGTGGTCAATTAACCTATACAGGTATGTATGTATGTAAGGGGTTCAACTTTAACAATTCCGTATTCGTAGTTTGGATTGTCCAAGGAACGTACTTTAACCCACCTTTACCAAGTCCCCCACCTCACACACTAATTAGCTATAGTTTTAGTCTCTCTCAAACGAGGAGCATAGATCGGAAGTACAGCTTTGCTTGCGCAAATATTAGGGGGCACAACAAAATGGCGCAACAGAGTCTATTCAAAATAGCCAAATGTATATCTTGCACAGGTGTTTACCGTTAAGGCAGCAAAGCCTCCAAGGGGAACGCAAGGCGATCCGGTGGAAAATTTGATCAGCAGAGCTTTTTCTTCTTCTTTCAGTGGTGTCACAATGTTCCAAAACCATTTTATAACGTCATCTTCTGCCGTGCACTGCTTATACTACAGATGGCAAAGGATGAAATGTAAGATAACTCATTTGTAATGGCATGGAGACATTCTGTTTTGTTTTGTTGCTGCTTTCTTTTGAGTTTGTTTGTATTTTTTTTCATGGCCAAAGACCAATTTTCCCCACAATTTGAAAAGAAAATTTGTTTTTCTCTTCCTTTCGGTTTACATTCAATCGAAAGGCTATAAATATCAAGTGTGACGCTTCACCTCGGTGTGTTTCTTCCAGTCTCCCACATCAAGCTTAGCCACTCCGTTAATCAACAATGAAAATTCGTCAGCCGTAAACAGCGAAAGGAATTCTCGTGGAATAACCTGAAAAGGAGGGTTAGATTCGGTTTGGAGTGAATGTATTCAAAGATGGCGAGTTTTTTATTGTTATTTGCTCTGTAAGATGAACCCATCATCAACTGAACACAACTTACCTCATGAAGTCCTCCTGAGAATTCACCCACTTCCTCTTTAATCGATTTTTCCAATTTAAATTGTGAAACAAATCTGCTGTATTCTTCCTACAAGACAGACGAGAGCAATGAATGATGGTGGGAGAAGAGCCTGTTTGAACAAACACTGATTACAAATAGAATTTATTTCTAGCTACAGTCTGTGGTAACATGGCACATGATTCTGCCTTTGAATCCTAAATGAATGACGCTACACCAAGTACCTTATTGTCATCTGTGAGCTTCTTGTCACAGTCGTCACTAAGCTCAATTGACACCGGTTTAGAGTTCCATGGATTCAGAGCATCCACGCTGAATGACAAGTCCAGTTCGTTCACACTGTTTTCCTGTAGCCAAGTCACTGCATTCTTATGGAGCTCGTAATCAAATGAACTAAGGTCGTCTGGGTGAGTTAAAGGTATTCCAAGGATCTGAAATGCAGGAAAAAGTGAAGTCTGTATCAGTCAAAAAATCTTGATTAAGAAATACTTCACTAACATTTGGAAAATCGTTTTGATGAATTCCACTTCAAAGGGTCTTTTCGAATCAAAGTAAAGTTAAAAGTTCTTAAGAAGTCTCTATTAATCCAAAAAAGTGCTTGTAAAAATTAATAGAATAGAAAAGAGAGAAATCAAAAAGTACTGTACTGTACACCACATCATTGTCATCATTAGTATAAATGCCTTATCATTATTATCATGATTAACAATCGTGCTTCTGATATCACCATTATTATTATTACCATCGTTATTATTAGTATGATAATTATCCTCATAGTTCGTAAGGTGAGTATGAGTCTAAACAGCTGAATGAGAGACCCTAATATGAAACGACAGACAAAAAAGTCACCTGCTTTACAAATGGTTTGGAGAGATGAAGATCCAGAAGCAAATTTTCAAAAATAGAAAATCCAACCATGGGACCGATAAAGCGAAGCTGTTTGAGTTTAGAACCCAAGGAGAGATTCCTTGTTACTTGGTTTCCATTGTTCTGCTCCTGCTCGGAAACACCAGACAAAAATATCACAATTGTAAAACTTTTACAAAATTAATAAAGAATAGCTTGCATGTATGATACAGTGCACATGTACACTGTACATGAACCAGCGCGCAGCTCTTCATCAGTCCGGCCTGCAAAAGTAGACCCTTTACTTTTCAAGCATTCCATTAGTAAAAAGCACCGTTATATGTTGATACATCGATTTGCCTCCTTTTCTACCTGAAAACCAGGGACAGGCCAACAACCACCTTCTGTGATATACTGTTTGTAGTTTTTTTTTTTGGTTGTATTTTACAATTACAGTACATCTGTAGAACTACCAACAAAGTGTTAGTAGCATAATGACAAACCTCAGATGAATGCCTCGTGTCAGCACTTCCTACAACTCTTTCGTTACAACCACTTTCATTGGACGCTACCTCATCCGCTGTTGCTGTAATTCTGGGATGCCCTTCTGCAACACTCTGGCTCAAATTGATCCCTTCCTCAGATCCCTGACTTGCTCCATAGTTTTCCAAACCATTCTGTCCAGCAGACCTCATATTGTTATCACATTCATTTTGTGCACTGAGTCGTTGACTTATATTTTCTGCCATTGCATGAAGAACTTCTGCCTGCGAAACTGCTGACCTCAACTCATCATCTGTGCACTCGCTTGGAAGGCATTCCTTTAATTTCCCAGTTGATGGCCCCTGTCGAGTGCTTGGCGCTTGTATGGCGTTTTGTCGAGCTTCTTCCGTGAAATGTTTAGCAAAGTAAGCATTCGGCACAGGACTGGAAAAATACAAGTTACAGTTTTTAGTTCAAGTCTTTGGAACTTGAGGGCTCACTGCATCTATTGAAGCTAACATGGACTTGTACCTGTACTGAGCATCATCTGCCATCATGAACAGGCGTCTTTTGGGGTCAATGGCATCTTTACAAAAGCAAGCAAAAAATTCTCTTTTTGGGCCAGTGCAGGTACCTTAAAAAGGAAATGAATACATGTGGGTTTACGAAAAGAACAATAAGTTCTAAGTTTACTTAAATGCCTGGGAGTGAGCGTCTCTTTCATGTGGAATGCACAATCAATTGAGGCGACAGACCATACGGTTCAAAGTAATGATGGCATTACAAAAAACAACGTGTTTGTCCCGTGTAAATCTAAGATACAAATGTACATTCTAACTGGATCTACCTGGTTCATTCTGAAATGTGACAGTCAAATCCCTGTGTCTCAGTACATGTCCAGGTATTCTCCCCATTTGATTCATAGCACTGCCTAGAACATTGGTTCTGTCAATCTCCAAAGGCAAACGATCATGTTTCCAAGAGCTTGTCCTGTGACGTTGAAATAGACATAAATTCTTCAATCTCAAGTTATAATTTTATTGCTTACATTACAGTACTTCTTTGTCTCTGCTCTTGTTGAGCTGTATGAGAAAACCTTAACACCAACAATTGTGCGCATCTGCCAAAAATACTTAATGCACATCTTTATGTACAATTTTTAATGGGTTAACCTGATTTGTGAAAGCTTCTTTTTAAACCATCTCCTCTTGTTATCAAAATCCAAGATGGCCCTCCAGATATGCTGTAGGAGTCCATATTTATTCTCGTCAAGCATCTCAGGATTTTGGCGAATGAAGTCGTTGAATACTGTGTAGTATGCATCGTGATTGGCTAATGACACCAGTACATTCTTGACCACCTGTAGACAAGAATTTTTGGTCTCAATATCATGATTGAACCGCTTACCATGACCAGCTTTAGCAGCTCTACACTGTAAATCCTCTAATAACCCCCCCGGGGCTTTCAAATACCTTGGGGGGGTGGCTTATTATGGGGGAGGGACTTATTAATTTAGCCCGATGTTCACTACCAGGGTAAAATGTGATATGATGTACCATATTTATTCAAATAATGTTCATATTGTTTATGTTTTTAGCTGTGTAATTTAATAATAATGTTTTTCTGCTCTGTAATTTCCGTATACCGTATTCTATTGATGCCAACAGGATAACATCGATCAAGCAATCACCATAATCAATTTGAAATGACAAACTACAGTATTTGAATACATTTATCGTACTTACTGACCTGGAGTGTTATTTTGAGTTTTTGTTTTATGGGGGGAGGGGTGGGGGGGCTCATTAGAGGGGCATGGCTTCATAGAGGGGGGAGCTTAATAGAGGATTTACAGTAATTAATGGCTGTGCACAACACTTTAGGGCGGCGTAGTGGCCTCATAACTAGTGTTACTTGACTCTGGATAGAGTGGTCCAGTTTTGAGCTGGGGACATTCTTGTGTTCCTAAGCGAGACATTTAATTTGCACAGTGCCTCTCTTCACCCAGGTGTTTAAATGGGTGCTAACAAATTTAATGCTGAGGGGTAAACCGACAATGGACTAAAGAGGGAACAGAAATACTCCTATTTGCTTTATGGTATGGAAACTGGAGTTGAGCTCTGGCCTGATGGGCCACTTGGCCCAATGGATAGTGCGCTGGACTGTTGTGCGGGAGGTCAAGGGTTCGAGCCCCAGCCAGACCATCACATAAGGTCTTAAAATAATTGAGAAGAATTTGCTACCTTTCTATAACATCAAGAAATGGTTAGATATTCTAGTCTTCTCGGATAGGGATGAATAAACGGAGGTCCCGTTTCCTGCAGGGTTAGGGGTAGGAGACATTCATTTCCCACACACGAGATTACTGTGTGATGGATGTCCTCCTCTGGGGGGGGATGGTGGGTACAAAGGGGTTAGGTGTCAATTGGGACAAAAGTTCTGTAAACAGATTTGACATTTTTTAGCACCTTACCTTAACAGTTCTTTTCTTCTCCAAGTCACGGCTTGCTCTTCTCAGCAGCTCTCTCAGTACGAACACTTGTTCTGGTTTTGGTTTCATCAGCGCTAACACACAGCTTTCATGAGCTTTGAAGTTAGCATAGAGCAGTGGTGGCCAACCATACTTGTCAACACAGTCAACTTGGTGCCCAGAGTTCAGCAGAAGTTGAACACACTCTGTGTCTCCTGACATGGCTGCAAGATGAAGACTAGAGGTGCCATGGCTGTCCTAATAGGAATAGAGCACAATCAGTTTCTCATGGATTCCACATCTAGATGCACATATATTGTAGATTTGGGTACATACATTTAAGATGATGTCAGCTACATGTTGCAGGAGTATCATAATTGAATGTTTCAACCATCTTTGAGACAGTATATTATCAAGTTGTAATTTCTCACCACATATTTAAATGATGCACCATTGTCAAGCAGTGTCTTGACACACTCTGTATTACCACTTTCACAAGCATACATCAATGGGGTAAAACCTAAAAATAAACATAATGGAAGCAAAAAAAATCACTGGTAATAGTAATTATACTCACACTGTTAGACTAAAGACAATAATGATAGTATTGATAATAATAGCAATAATAATAGTGATAAAAATATTTGAGATACAGTTGTACTGGATAGACTCTAACTTGCCCAAAACATTTATAGCATATACAGTATTACTGTATAAGAAATAGACTGAATGTTATTTGATTACATAAACCTGTGTTATAACCCAGTTGAGATAAAGGAAGAATACTCAAAGTTTAAATCACTCATCTTTTTCTTTTGATTAAGAACTTTCTTGTGTTGGCCCAATGTCTGAAATGCTTTATCAAGCCAGTACAATAAACGAAAGTGCTTGCATAGAGTAAATTATAATAGGTAACTGTGGTTCTGTGCACTTATACCATTATCATCTGGCTGGTCAATAAGCAATCTTGATTCCTTCAAAAGCTCCCTTAGACAAGAGGAAGTGTCCTTGATAGGTTCCCATTTGCTTTTGAAATGTGATGCACATTCCACAGCAAAGTGAAGTATGTTGCCTCCATCATCAGTCTTGAAGACAGTCATATATGTACCTGCACCCATCTTCAGTAAGACCTGGACACACTATAAAAGTTGAAAAAACTTACACTATCACATACACAGAGAACATAAGGTAGCAATTTACATGTACAAATACTATACCTTTGTCTATTAACCAAAAGTCATTAAAGCAAATTTAGTCCTACTTGTTTCTGTGCATACACACCAAAAACATTGTTAGAGATTTTTTTGCTTCTTTGTTGTTTGATTTGATGTTATTTTCTTTGGTAGTTGCTGTAGTTGTCTTTTACTTTTCATTAATCTATTTAATTCCTATTTTTAAACCTTAGAGATCTCTTGACAGCTAAAGGATACAGTGTGACTTAGTTTTCTTTCAGATAACCATACATTATGCAAGCTATGTGCATAATATACCTTTTGCTACTTAGAAACTATTTTACCAATTCTTAAATTATTAATTTTAAATACAATCAATATTAAGTTGACTGCTGGGTAGAAAAAAAAAAACAAAAACAAAGAAAACAGAGAGATAAAAAGCTAATCAAATCTTAACTGTTCATGTAAATCTTACCCACCTCATGTTGTCCTGCATGAACAGCTGCAACTAATGGAACAAACTTCCTGACATCACTTGCTGTTAACAGCCTGGTGCATGTTTTCTTGTCTCCATGAAACAAAAGCTCCAGACATTTTGCTCTGTCATGACAATTCAATCCATCTCTCCCTTCTCCCACAGCAAAATGCAACAAGTTCATTCCTTGTTTGTTCCTCCTCATACTTTTAGTAATGTTCTTAATATCAGCTTGCTCAAGCAACAGCTGAACGCATTCTGGATGCCCGTCCAAAGCATATGCCAATGCAGGCAGGTGATAGTAATCAAGAGAGGTCTGGTCAGCCCCATACTTCAGTAACAGTTTCACAAGTTCTACTTGGCCTTCTAAAGCAGCCAAATGTAGTGCAGTCCTCTTTCTGAAGGCAATCTCATAAACACAATCAGGATCTTCCTTGATAAGCTTATTGACTAAAGGGAAATCATGTTCAAGAATGGCAATGTGAAGGGGTTGATATCTGTTAGGTGTGGTATCAAGGGTATCATCATCAGCACTATTCTCACTATCATCCTTCATCTTAAGCCGTTTCCAAGCTGAACGTTTCTTAACTTTTTTCTTTTTCCTTCTCTTTTGCCTACTAGTGAAGTGAATCCCACCTACAGTGATCCCTGGTCCAGCCTGGTCCTGTGTTCCATTGTCATCCTTACCATGTTGTTTGCCTGCAAATGTGTCCAGGAGCTTAAGAAATTGTGATGCACCATCTGAGTTCATGCCTTCATCAGATGTCTCAACATCCTTGACAATGAAATCTTGGTCGTCCTCATCCTCATCCATCTCGCTACTAAGCTGTGCAAAACATGCTGCGGCCACCTTGAAGGGGTCTTGATCATCATCAGAGCTACATGCATGAGCAGAATGATCACTGCTGGACGATTCATCTGTGCTACAAGAAGCACCATCATCATCATTTGTCAAATGCCTCTTTGCAAGTCTTTCTTTCGGATCAAGTTTAGCTGTTTGCCTTTTCTTTAATAAGCCATCAAACATTTTATGATTTTTATCTTCCTGTTTCTTTATGAGCTTTTTCACTCTTTGTGAACGTGGCCTCAAGATTTCAGCCTTATGTGGAGATTCACTTGTACAAATGTCGTCACTTTCAGAATCTTCACTTCTAGCATTGCCATCTTTAGATTTGTTCCTCTCCTTTCCTGAAGAAATGTCTTCATCAGAGTCAATAAACTGATTAAGCTTTCTTCTTTTGTTTTTTGTTTTGTGTTTACTTGCAATGCTTTCATCTGACTCATTAGAATTTGGATCACTAAGATTTCTGAATATTTCTTGTTCATTTGAACATAAACTCGAGCCCTTTAGCTTTGACGAAGCAGCCTTGTCATCAAGACCTATTTCTTCCTCTGAGCTATCAAGTATTCTTTTCTTTTTTCTCTCTGTTTTGCTTTCTTTTACTCTACAGATTCCAGAATCCTTCTTGCCACCATCACTGCTTTGGTCACTTTCCGCAGTAGATTTCTCCTCATCCTCTCCGTCATCGTTTATGAAATCAGACATTCCACTGTCATCAGAGTCAAACCCACCTTCTCCACGACTCACATAAGAAGAACGCCTACAGAAAATATGCTATTGTTATTTCAAATTGAGGGCTGTAAACTATTAATCTCCCAGAAAATATGCTGTTGTTATTTCAAATTGAGGGCTGTAAACTATTAATCTCCCAGAAAACATGCTATTGTTATTTCAAATTGACGGCTGTAACAGTGCTTTCAATAAGATTTGAAATAGGTGGCTACCTCGGTACAACATCCACCGGAGAGCGACTTGATTGCGACTTAGTGTGGCGACTGCGACTTGAGCGCGGTGAAATATACCCGGCGACTCGCGACAGAATAGCCGCCGGAGCTCCGGCGGGTGCCAGGTCTTATTGAAAGCACTGTGTAAACTATTAATCTCCCAGAAAATATGCTATTGTATTTCAAATTGAGGGCTGTAAACTTTTAAACTCCCAAATTATTGTGACTAATTTACAAGGAAAATGTGTAACTGTTAGAGGGGGGAGGGAAGGAACTAACAATCAAATCGTGTAAGTTTAAGGGTGCTTAAAATTACACATTTTAATTAACATGTAGTGATCAAAATGCAAAATTTGAGGGGCTTATGGACTGCAGCTTCAGCTCATTATAGTCAAACTAAGTGAAGCGTACCCCTCAGGATTACATTAATGATTTGATTATTTGTATATTGAACCCGCTAATCGTTTCAGGAGTGCAATAACGAATTGAATATTTGAACATGGAACCCGCTAACTGTTTCAAGAATGCAATAATGGATTGATTATTTGAATATTGAACTTGATAGCCGTATTCATTTTGAAAAGGCACGGATCATTTTTCAAATCAGAAGTCCATTTCTGATTGGACTACGCAAACACGTGATGATGGCGTCAGACATGGGGGGAAAGGTGAGTTCGAGTGTTGTGTAGAACTTCTTGTAAATGTTGTAAATGGAATGTTATCGAGAGCTTTTTTCGCATATTTACATCTTGACGAACTTGTAGAAATTCTTGAGTGTATTCATGGTCGAAAAAAAATAGTTTAGGGGCGAAGCCATCGCAAGACTTTTTTATTTTGTAAATGTTTGCGATCAACTGTTTTCGCAGTGTTTTTACGGTGCAGTTTGTTCATTTTCAGGATTCCTCGTCAAATAGAACAATCTTATTGGACTTCAGAAATGGACTTCTAGTTTGAACAATGATACACACCTTTTCAAAACAGATACGGCTATCGGGTTCAATATTCAAATAATCAATTCATCATTGCATTCGTGAAACGGCTATTGGGTTCAATAATCAAATAATCAATTCATTATTGCATTCTTGAAACGACTGGCAGGTTCAATATCCAAATGATCAATTCATTAATGTAATCTTGGGGGGTACGCTTCACTTAGTTTGACTGTAATTCAGGGGTGATATTGTAAGGAGAAATTAGATGCTAGTCACTTAGGTGTAAATCCATACCATATTACAGCAATCACAAACATATATTTATGTAGATGTTGAGAAAATGTTATGCCTGGAGAACATGGGACAATGCATGGCAATTACATAAAAAGCAAGGAGTACTAAGACATCTTCAGTCATTGTGAGAATCAGAAAATAAATGTTGTAAAATGAAATGATGGCAATCTTTTAGTCTATGCAACATTTTCATAATCACCCCTCCCTTCCCCCTAAAAAAAGGAAAAATACGTCACACAATCAGTGAAGTTACAAATAACACTGTCACGTCCGATCAAACTTACTTTTACTTTAGTTTAAGTTTAAGTTTAAACTAAACTAAAAAAAAGGAAAAATACGTCACACAATCAAATTACAAATAACACTGTCACGTCTGATCAAACTTACTTTTAGTTTAGTTTAAGTTTAACTTTAAAACTTAAGACCTGTGCTAAGGGCTAAGCTACCTTCCCGTATTAGGCTGTTGAATTCACTAGCGGGTTTTAAGAGGGCAGTTAGAGGAATGGATTTGAAAATGTTAATGGACGATGGTGGCTGTGTGGGCTGCTTGGTTTGCAGTGCATGATTCTTAGTTATATCTTAATTAGGCTCAGACTATTCCTCCCCCCCCCCACGTCTTTGCAGTGCATGATTCTTAGTTATATCTTAGTCAGGCTCAGACTACTCCTCCCCCCTCCACGTCTTGAGGTCCCCTAGCCTAATTCTGCTGACCACAAATTTTATGCTATTTATTCGTATATTTTATGCTATTTAATCATATATTAATACTTAGTTATTTATCATTTTATCTAAATTATCTTGTTGTGTCCTTACTTAGTGGTTTTATTACTGCTATTGTATAATTGACACATGAATAAAGCTCATCATCATCATCATCATAAACTAAACTAAAAAAATGAAAAATACGTCACACAATCAGTGAAGTTACAAATAAAACTGTCACGTCCGATCAAACTTACTCTCTAAGGAAATTGTTCACCAGTTTTCTAGGCTTCAAAACCTTTATTTTCTCCTGGCTCCTTTGTCTCTTTCCTTTCGGTGACATTGATTTTAGTACTTCTTTTCTGCTTGGTAAAGAAAAAGTCAATGATGATTTCTTCCGTAACCGCTCTGAGCTGCGAGGCGTCTGTGAGCTGGTGGGGGTCTCGTTTAATTCGCTACTACACATTCCTTCTTCAAATGTTTCCTTGTGTAAACTGTTTATCCGTTTTCTTGGAGATGTTTCCTTCCTTTCACTTTCGTCTGAGTCGGAAGATAGAAGTGATCTTTTCGCGTAGCAGCGCTTTTTGGCCGACAATCTAAGTGGCAACTCGTCGCCTTCGTCACTAGAAATTCCCATACTTTTTTTTACACGCTCGGATATAATAAACAGCTGACCTTCCTCGTCGCCACTGTAATCTAAAAATGACAACAAATATACCTGAAATCCGCGCTTTAATGAAGAAAGAAGAAAGGGAATCGAGGAAACATGTCCTTTGTGTTTACTTACCGTGAACGTCTGTGTGATGTAGACAAAAATGGCGATGGAATAACCGTACAATGCAAAGCGACGCTCTCAAGAGACAGTTACATTATCCAAAGAAAGCCGAATTTTTTTTTTCTTCACTTAAAGGAAATACAAGGCTTTCCGTATATTGAAGCTTAAGAAAAATCAAATGCAAAGCATGCAAACAGACTGCATCTTACTTCCTTTTTCCCCGCGCATTTACGACTAACTAGTTTCCAGGAAAAACGGCCAAAAATCTCATAACTAACGTCGTTTAATACCTTACGGATGTGTCTCTCCCTTGAATCTGGCTGGGGGTACCCTTGAGTGGTTACGTTGAAGACTCACTCCACAGATTTCCAACAAATTCAAAAAACTAACGGGCAGTAATGCAAAGCGAGCAATACCTAAATGTAAGTAAAGGGTTTTTCTACCGGCACCGCACACTCAGGAAACTATGAAACTATCTTTTGACGTGTTACGGACAGGCACTAGGAAAAATGAGTGACCAGGAGTTTTCGAGGTCCAGTTGTGCAAATAATTAGTTTGTGTGTTGAATATAATGTCTGCTACTCCGATCCTAATTTACACTGATAGACGGCGAAAATTTATTGATACAGTTGAAAGAATCAGAGAAAGAAGAAGTGGGTACGGAGAAGGACAACCAGAAATTCCCAAATGAAAAATCATTGGTTCGTGTCCGGCTTTATTTGGAAAGTTGTTGTTGTTGTTATTGTTGTTCTTACAATCACGAACATTAAGATGGACTAGGTCCCCCCCTTACGACTGGATTTTCAAGAAACATAAATAGTTAATGGACATCTTATTTCAGTTCCCTGGCGAATTTCGTCGTTAACCAATCAAATTAATCGACAAACGGACAGCAACATTGTAGTTTTAATCCACGATGAAAACAACAACAGATATTTCAAACTTTTAAAGTAAATTAGCTTACATCATCTTAATTGGATGTTTGACATCAGTATTTCATCTTTAAACATATATCTTACATACGTCAATATTTCCTTTCGAGAATCCCACTTTAGAAATGATTCGTTTGAAAGATTAGTAGATTAGGTAAACCTTCAATTTCTCTATGTAATGAGGTATCACCGGATCATATCATCGAGAAATTTGTATTAAGACAAATGAAGATCAAAAAGTTTTCCAGTCTTGACCCTCCTTAAAGCAGTCAATGCGATACAACCGATTTTTAAAGGTTCCCCCTCCACTGTCGCCGATCACTTTTGAGTGTGACTCGGAATCCTCTGAAAAGATAAAGGCCACAAGTCGTGAATTTTTCCCAACTACTTTCTTGTAGATGCTGACCTATGCATTGAGTTTCCCTGCAAATAAAATCGAGATTCATATCAATTCTGAGCGGAAAGGTGGAGTGGGGGAGGGGGGGGGAGTCTCTAAGGATGCATTTGACCCATCGTTGTCCCACCCCTCTCCTACTCATAGTAAAGAAAGTATTAATTTATGATGATAATAAAACAGCCTGATGTGCATCAATTTCAGGAAAATGCTCATGCAATACTCCTAGGGTACAAATCCAAGGACGCCTCATTTGAAATCCAACGACCTTGGATAATGATTACACATTCACAAGGATATCAGTAGAATTAAGCCGCTGTGAACGAGACGAAATGAAAATAGAATGAGAAACAGTGTTTGTTAAAGTGCAGTTTATAAACTCTTCAAAAGGACGTGAGCCTGAATGTCTTTTACAGATTGCGTGTGTTCTAAGGCTAACAGCTTAAGTCGGTGTAACCATGGAAAATAAAACACCATGACTACCAAGATGACCACCAAAAAAGAAACGTAAGGTGCAAATCCTGAAAATTTACAAAAGATATATAAATTTCCCTTGGCTTCAATGTTGTGGTTCTATCAATCGTCCAAACTTCCGATTCGTTTAAAGCCAAAGTTATATCATTTGACTTTAGAGATTCACTGTCACTACCTTTGTTATTATAATGGTTTTAGGGTTATAAGATTTTTAGTCAGTTATAGGACTTAGCAATTGACTCTCCACGAGGAGGCTTTCCCTGTCCATTGTTTCCAGGTCGAAATAGGATTTGGAATGTGACTAAAAATGCAACATGTCGTCTCGACAAATGCTATAGAGAAGAAGTAAGTGCGAGTTAATTAAAGAGTTAACCCTTTACTTTCCATCAGTGACCAATTGCAAGACAGAATTTCTCCATACAATAGCAATACAATGTCAAGCAGACAAGTGACGAAAATAAAGAAAAATATCAACAAGGGGATTATTAATTAGTTGATCCATTACGAAATTCTCTAAACTTGCATCATAAGATTTGCATAGCGGATAGTAAGGAGAATTACTAAGAAGATCTTGGGAGTGAAAGAGTTAAGTTGTCAGCGGTCTTCTAACCTGAATCAGAAATTTGCCTCCACCTTTCTACCGTTCACTGGTTTAGTCGGCCGAAAATTGTCACATTCAGAGCCTTGTACCGATGTGAGTTTCTTGAACGCTTCAAGCTTCGAAAAAAAGACAGTTATCAAAAACGATTACTCGAATAAACAGGATCCCGTTTTAAAATAAATCAACTTAAAAAAGATCGTTCATCTAGGACAGGAGAGTCACAGAAGAGAATAGAGTCCCAAAACTATTTTTCCATTTTTCAAACCTTTTTAATCGTAAATCAAGGGCTATTGGTTCTGAAACTAAGCAAGTAAAAGGTATGGTGACCATTTTCTTAAAAAATTAAATAGGATCAGAAGGGTAGATCAAGGAGAAAAAAGACAATTCTCTAAATAGTTGAATACCTGATTTTTAGTGATGGTTACTGGGTTCTTCATGACAATCCATTTCACGGTTTCGTAACAGGGAGGGGTGGTTAGGGAACCCATGTAAGTGTAGTAGGGCGCATGCTCTTTAGCAAGGTCCGGTACAAGGTCGGCCAAGGTCAAATTATCAGCTGGAGTATAAACAGGGATACTAGATCCTGCAGTTAGAAATAGAGTTAGATGCTAATGTAGGTCTAGCTCATATGACAAACATAACGAAATTGTACCTCAGAGTATATTCCTGACGGTCCCGATATTACAAGTGGTTCAACAGGTTTAGCCACAGTTTGTTGTCTTGCCCATATTCTTGGCTTTCAATATAAATTTCAATATACTCTTGCTTGTATAATCTCACTTAAAGTTATAGCATGTAAATACAACAGGAGCAAACCTTCCACGGCAACGTCATCCAGTTGATCAACAATGCTATCAAGAGCATTGTTTTCAGTCTCCCCTATCTGAAAAAAATTCAATGAAAGGAATTTGATTATGAAGCTAAGGCATTGACGTCCGGGTAGGAGAAGCCGGCGAGCTAACAACAAATTTTGTAGTAATCAACAACGGTCGCCAAAGGAATTATTCATTTAGCAAGATTATCTAATCACCGATGGGGACTAAGCGTTTTAAAAGTCCTAAGCCATATCCCTAATAAACTGCCTTGATCACGCTATGACCGAAGTATTTATTTGATATCATATAGTTCCACACATTTTTGTAGCCTTACAATACACAGGAAATATGACTTACCTTTAACAGTACTGAAATGGCCGCCAAGCCATCCTTTTTTGAGGCTGCATTGTCATAAAACCCATATTCTGTGTTGTAAAACATCAATTGCAACTGTGTAGAGATTGGAGATAAATAAAGATACCACTATCAAAGTGAATTCACGGCAACCGAAGCAACCCAGTTGATGAAACAAATATGGAAAAAAGAACTCAAACAATAAATTCCAACATTTTGTTCGACCTTAGATCTCTGACTCGTGATCCTATATGCAATAAGGTGTCGCTTCAAAAGCTCAACTTCAAAATATCCACCGCACATTAATCTCGTGCGTGGGAAATTAATGTCTCCTACAGGAGACGGGGCCTACGGTTTATTCGTCCCTATCCGAGAAGACTATAATATCTAACCGTTTTTTGATTATAAAAAGGTAGCAAATTCTCCTCACCTATTTTAAGACCATGAGTATCGGTCCGGCCGGGGCTCAAACGTTCGACCTCCCGCACAACACAATCCGGTTTGTAAAAATACTATTCAGTTTTGGATTTTGGCTTAGCACCCCATAGAAGAGTGTTCTTCAGGAATAGTTGTATCACAAATCACTCTTTATTAATTGGCTAATTGGGACAGACTTACATTTGTCAACGAGACTGTTGCCGATGTTGATATGAGCAACAAAATGGTGAAAAAAGCTTTGACGTATTCACAAGCACCTTACCTCTGCTGGGAAACTTTTCCCATCAATAGTATGTTCTGATCCTCGATCAGCGTCACATCCAAAATGGATGTTTAAATCATGCAGCTGAAAGTTCTTATTAATCACGGGAACACCGGTTAAGTTGCAAGTGCCTCTCTTGTCATCCGCGGTCAGGATTGGCTCATATCCATTATTCAGTAGGATTCCATTGAACAGTCCTTTGTCATTGTCACACGTGATGTCCAATTCTCCTAGAGATGCATCAGACTCTACCGTCTTGGTTGCAATATCGATTGGTGATTGGTCGGCCAGACGGCATGAGCTGGCAACATTTCCCCATGCATCAGGTCCATAAACTGCATCAAACAGAATGAAATTTCAGTGCAACAGCGAATGACGTTTGCACCAATAACATGCTGGACATTTCAAAACTTTCATTCATGATTATATGCCTAATTCAAAGGAAAACATTCAGAAATACTTCCAACTGATTCCTCAAAGTGATTAAGGAGCATAACTTGATTCAGTGGTTACTTAGCTCCCTGATTGGTTTAGAAAAGTCACACCAGCTAGTATCTCAACCAATCAAACCGTCTACAGCTACATTTACTTGTGTTTATTTTGATTCCTCGTCAGCGCCCTCTTACAAGTAACTTGGTTTTACGACGGTCAATCCACTGAGTGCCTATAGCTAAACAGTTGGTAAACAAAACAATGTCCATAACCTTGACGGATCGAGCGCTAACTTCTCTATAAACACATTATTTCCTTTCAGACTATAAATTTTCTGATACTACCTTAATTTTTGACTTAAATAAAATCGTATGTAAAAGTTAATCGGTGTAGTGGTGAGCTGCCGTTTCAGACGTATAGAGCGGATTGTACAGTAGCGGCCATTTCCGGTCAAGAAATAAGTACTCGCCTCCGTGAATAACATCACTGTCTCCATATTTCCAGATTCCTCCTGAATTTGTAAGAGCATTAGACATCAGTTCCGAAGTTTACCAAAATGACAATTAAAATCATATCACCACAACAGAGCCCTCTTACTTGCCAGTGTTGAAAAGCTCAAGAGGAGAAGCGCAGCTGTCGTGAAGGCCATTTGTATCAAGTCTTCAGAGCAGGGAAAAATTTTGAATAAGGCAAGTGGGCGTAAAAAAGCCTTCGAAAGTTTCGTGTCTTTTACGAAGGATTCAAAAGACTCTGTTAAATCTTCCCAACTTCAAAACATCAAAACACAATGGACTAATCATGTCTCCCACCTGCTTGTCACAATCTAAACAAAAACACCGAAAGCATTTGTTTTTATGCAAACATTTTAAATGCAAAGCCGTTAGCATTTCGCTGATTACGGCATCTATTGTTTCTAATAGCACATCTCATTAAGAGCAAACCTAGATCAAAGCTCTTGCAACCCTATGAGAACCCGTGAAATCTGGCAAATCTTGGTCGCTTGCCAATTATACGAGTTGATTTGGAGACACTGCTGGTGGATTCTTGGCTTTGATCATGATCATCTCATCTAAATGGCATTGGCGTTTTTGCAAGACGATTTTTTTTCTCGGAAACGCCGATAAACAATGTATGCGTCGTTACAATGAGATGCAGTTTACTGCATTTGATCAGAAAAAGCTGAGACACTGAGAAATGGAGGTTTTTTTCTACACATCTGTGTGGTAACTGGCGATGCTTTCAATCAATCGTTGCTTTCAATCAACTCTACACGACGAAGCAATTACAAAACGGGTGGCGAACTGAAAAGGTTTAGGTTCTATTTCTTCATCACCACTCATCAAATTTGTGCGAGACTCCGGGCGGTGCCAAAGCTGGTAGAATTTTTTAAGTGCGAAAACGAAGTATAGTCACGCCCGCAAAGCTGTATGGGATTTATGATTTTCTAAGACTAGGTAATGTAACTCTTACGTGAGAATCCCTCTTGATAGGTTTCATTAAGATACTGGATACAGTGCTCTGTAGAAAAACATGCGGGATCAGGAATACATTTTACTTATTTGAAAATGTGCGTTCATACGTTGGTACGATGACTCATACAAGGTGGACAGGAGCATGATCTTTGGAAACCATTTGGACCCATATTTTAATTTAACAACGACCACATTCATCTTACCCTTATATAACTCATGTCTTCAGCGAGCGAGTGTAGCGAGTACAAATGTCCAAAGTCATTCTCAATATAAAAACTTTTAGTTAGGTATAAACTTGTGAACTAATCTGAGCCCGCGAATGGGGAACGCTGAGAGTTTTATAAGTCTCTGTCGTCTGCTCTCAGGCACTTTGGCAAATAACGCAAACTCTGTCTGCCATGAAAAAGATGATGTTTTCGTTTTTATTTGCTTAATATATTTAAGATTAAAAGAGAAGCAAGAGAAAACAGAAACCATTTTGTTTCACGCCCCTTGCAGTGAATGTCCTATCGACAGCGAACTAACACTGGATTTTATTTTGCACCACCGTCGTTGCTCTTTCGGGTGAAACAAATTTAAAATGTTCCTATGCGGAGACTGCGTATAGAAAGCGTAATGTAATTTTATACTAATGATTGGAAAGGCTTACTGTATTTGCAAAGGAGATTTACAACTTTGACAAACAAAAATGTTTAACGCAAACATCTTTGATAACATCGGAAATGGAGTAAGGAAAAGGAGGAACTGAGGGGTATTACAATTAATTTTTCGCTTTCTGAATTTTAATTTTTATAAATCTGATCTTAAAAGGAGAAAAATCCTCAGCAGCAAAAGACAGCTGCCAATTTCTGTATGCCCTTCGCAGTCAAGTAAATGTTTTTGTCTGTGTCGCGGCTGTAGCTTCCTGTACAATTTTGTTACAAACGCAGTATGTTGCCCACGTAATATGAAAAGCACAAGCTGAATAAACGTTAATTAATTCTCTATTTACTGTTTCTTCTGTTTGAATGATAATTAAAAGCGTTAAAACTAATATGTTTCAGATAAAATCGAGTTTCGCTTAAAAATGGTACTCAAACGGAGCTGAGAAGTGTTTGATGACTCCTTAAAAAAAAGATAGGCATAGCTGCCTTTCATCTTACTTGTGGATAGATAACAGCTGAGCTGAACAATTGAAAACTTTCTCATCACTATGTGACTGCTGTTGATACAATAATAAAACGCGTTGAGGTTAAAATGTTGAGGTTAAAATGTCGCGGTCGATATCGTCTTTTACACCTCACGAGGTGTTCAAACGCCACACTAAGTATTTCAAATTGTTTCTTCGAGGTCTCCGTTCCTCACTAAAGTAAATTGAGACGACGTAGCCTTAGTGTTTTTACGACTTATGACCAAAGCAGTTTAAACAGGTCCCTCAAAAACCAGAAAAACGCAATTAAATTGCCGCACTATGCTAATTTGGAGAAACAATTCTAGCTGAATAAGGTAAGCCGTGTTTACTGTGGGGCCACAGTTCTGTATGATATATAATTCTAGGTGCTAACGTTAAAGCAACTTTGTACTCATATGTTGAATTGCACTGACTGGAGGACAGAGAATACATGAAACGGCAGAAACATTCATTAAATCAGCCTTGAAGATTTTTGGACAACCAAATCGATTCAAACGATTTCGACAAAAAGAAATAAATGACACACTGTGAAACAACAACAGGAGCAGTAAAGTTAGCCTTATTTACAAAGGTTTTATTGTGACTCCATGCTCTACTTTTTCGACGGGTTATTGTTTCAAAGGCAGCATGTTCCCTATGGAGAGAGGAAATATTCTGACCCCTTTCATTATGCACCTACTGTTTGAACAGTAATTAAATGCGTTAAATTTACAACGTACTAGTTAATATCGCCCTCAGACTTGCAACACGATGTTCAAGTGTTGCCGCTCAAACTCTTCGAATCATTATACGACCACGAAATTTACGGTGAGTAGAGGTCGTCGGTCGTTACAAAGTACTTTGAGTTGAGCAATAGCCTGTTACCATAGTGGAATTGAAGGTTGCCAGAAGAAGAAGAAAAAAAAAAAAAGACCATACTTTATCCGTAAGGCGACAATGAGTGAAAATAAAGAGAGTTTTGATGAATGAAAAGAGCGGGAAATTTAGTGTAATAATTCTGCTCCTGACCCAGTGTTTACGTCTGTCGCAGGTTCGAGATTTTTATTACCTGCTGTCATCTAACAGAAAGGAAATTGTCAGATCTCTTTCCAATCTGATCTTTTATATTATTACTGATTGTCAAACTTCTTGAAATGTGTCCTTCGACGGCTAAAAGGGAAATTAATTATCTTCGTATTTATTTTTGTGGTTCTTAGCAAAGCAAACCGGAAAAATTAATGAAAACACCGAACATTTAGCGAAAAAAAAAAAAACAAAAGTAGAAAAAATACAACGAAAAATTCTAAAGTATCTGATTTTTGAAATACGAAGAACACGTTCCGTTTTTTAGATGTCCTTGATGAACTTAATGGCATTTCGCAAAATCTAAAATAAACTGTATTTGTACAGCTTAGTTTTCCTTGTACTTCAGTATTGATTTCCAAGCCACTATCTCTACGGAAAACGAAATAAATCACAACAAAACCACACATGTTCTCCATTGACCTGAATTAGCAAAAAGAATTATTACTACTAGGTAGATAGTTCTGCATTGCGAGGGTGGCGAGTCGAAAACGAAGTCAAGTCCATTTGCAAATGTTCCAGTCTTGAGCTTCTTTTCCTTAACGAAAAGATCTTTTTATATTCTTGTCTGAAATTCCTGTTCAAGAAACCGTAAATAAAAGGATTCACGGCTCCTGAAAGATTTCCCAAAATTAGATAAAAAACATAGACTTGTCTCGGAAGAGAAACTTCACCTCGGAACGTGTCCACAAAATCTATGACCGCAATCGGTGTCCAACAAGCCAAAAATCCTATTACCGTGATGAATAGAATCTTTGTAACTCTAACATCAGCAGAAGAAATGTTATCCGCAGCCAAGGAAGAGGAACGTAAACTTTGAACTGTTCTTTGGTGAATACGCATTTGTCTGAAGACGAGAGCATAGCAAATACTTAAAGCAAAAGTAGGCAAACCAACGTAAAAATACACTATGAAATTTGGAAGGGAAATTTCAGCTGTTTGAAAGCAAAACAACTTCCCGGGATGAAAGACATAACGTCGACCCGAAAGTAAATAGGGTAATGGTTCCATGCAAGCTAATCCGACTCCAAATGCAATCATAATTATGGTTTTCCATTTGGTAAAAATTCTTCGATAATGTTTCGTTAGCACTATTCGGAAAAATCGATTGATCGCGGTCAGAGTTAAGATCAACAAAGAGGCGCAAGCCAAGATTATGACAAAAAATCCCTGACTTTGGCAGACGTTGTCATTAAATGGCCAGTGTCCAACGATGGCAACAGCAAGAGAATACGGAGCACATAGCAAAGGTAAAAGAATATCAGAGATCGCCAGCGATACAATGTAGTAGTTAGGAATCGTCCGTAGTCTTGAGTTTCTGTACACCGCCAAAAGAACACTGGAGTTTCCAACGATTGCCATCGAAATAATTAGCAGGTAGAAAAACGTTTCACATATCACAACTTTCTTGTCTCGGTTTTGGAGCTCTTCGGCCAAAGCCACCATTCCTTTTAAAATCGTCGCCATCTAATGACAAAAACAGACGAAAATTATGTTTAACAGAGAGCGTAGCTTATCGGATGACTTGTGAACACTTATTACTTTCACTCTCGCCCTTAGTTAGCATCTACGAACAAAAATAACAGCTAAATTTCTTAAAACAGTGTGAGAAATCTTGCGGAGCGTTACCCACCTCGCTTTTGCAACCCTTTTCGCTTATGTTAACCACTGTGTGTTTTGTTCGGCTACGTCAGTTCAAAGTAAAGCTGTTTCGTTTTACTTTCTAATTCACTAAAACCACGATAGCTAAATGTTTTACAGCCTCCAAGTCAACATTCTGATGACTCTGATATGAGAACAAATGAAGCCATTGAAGTGACTTCATATAACGTATAGAAAAGCCTTCCGTAAATCGATGACCAACAACATGCAAAAATTGTTAAATCTCTCCCCGGTAGAATTTAAGAGGTGTTTATAAAGTCAGCAAAGAACTTGAAAAACAGGTTTTTAATTATGTACGCTTATTTTTTGTTTGAAAACGTTGATATGTTTGAACAAATGTAACTTGAAGCTAAAACGCACTTCAGAATAATTTTTTCGAAAAAATATGGTAATGAAAATAAATCAATGAAAAAGTCAGGATCTAGGTTGCTATAGAAATTTTCCGTTACATCCAAATGATATATTTATAATTTGCATATAGAATTTGCAAGAAAATAGATCGCATCTTATCAGCTTGTATGGTACTCAGGTACATCAATCATTTAAAGCGTAATTTACCCTACAGCACTTTAGTTCTCATAAGCAAACATTGGATTTTTCAGTAACAAGTTGTATTATAACAAAAACCAATGAACTTTTCGAATCTTCTGCGTTTAAATGAACTTCGCTACTAGAACACCAGTGAGAACAGACGAACAAAGGAGGCTGCGCGCGCATCCACATACTTGAGCCGAGCTGCAGCCTTCCTTTTCTTTTCTCTCTATTTCACTTCTTTCTGTCATTGTTGTTCTCGTTTTTGCCGGATATTGAGCTGCTTAGGAAAAATTTAAAGAAGTCCAAATAAAATTCTCGTTATCAGTTAATTTCGAAACGATATACAACGAACGGAGTGGAAACAAAATGATCCGTAGCTACAGTTTTTCGCGCGGTGTACAGCAGATCAAGAGATATTTGACGGACACGGAAGATTCCGAAAAGTTAAAAACGAGCCAGGAGAATTGTTACGCGCTAAGTATCATCAAGAGGGAATGCTCTATTATTGAATGCGCTGCCCCATCGATGACAATTTTTAGCTACTCAGACAAAAAACTGCTCGTAATGACCAAACCCAGCATCCTTTGCGATCATGATGCGACGACCTAGTTTTCTTAGCCCTAAGGCAGCTCTGACATCATAACAAGCTAAATGGATAAAATAAAATAACTGCAGGTGGGTTGTGGTAAAATCACCATTTTTGTCAGGTTTTTAAAAACGGAAATGGTTGAATGAAATAGCCACTGAAATTAGTTTGTATATACTGTTTGCTTTTGTTCAAATGTGGGCGATACTGGTTACTCAGGAAAGAAACTGTATGCGCATGATGAAGTAGAAAAAAAAAACTTTAACCAAATAAACAATTTACAAGCGACACCCTGTAGATTACATAAACGATCAGTTGTTTTCAGATATACGACGGAAACTTGTTGGTTTTATCAGCTCAGTGGTCACAGGTAGTTCAATGTTATTATTAATGAGGATATCGCGGTTTTTGCTTATCAAATATACTTTGAGAAATCTAGCTTAGGGATCTTTTTCGTTTTATTTGAAATTTAATATATAAATGAAATAAAATCTCTTTCCACAATTGTCTTTAATTATTACTTTAGGCCCGACAAAGCGGGAACATCATAACAGTTCTACGAAGATAGGGCCGGAGGGTCGAATAACATAGCTCCGAATCTAAGCAAGCTTTCTTCACTTTTTTTTTCGCTTCTTGCCGGCTTTACTTGACCCAATTACCTGCTCAAGCTGATTATGTTCATGAAACTTAAAACACCAGCTTCGGCTCCCAGTCTAAATCCTCTTTTCTCTCCGAGACTTAAAGATAATTTCAGTTTTTATGCTTACGATTTTAATTGTCCTAATCAGTAAGTAGTTTTGTGCAAGATAACTAATAACCGTCAGGGAAAAAAGGAGGAAAAATAGCGAGTTTCTCCTTTCATACACGCATAGATGTATTCATCGTCAACTCACTTACCGATCAGGGATACAAAGCAATTCTGAAATACATAAACTGATATGCTGTTGGGAATATTCGTCTTCTTCTTGAAAAGTTTGTCACTGGGTTTGAAAAGAAAAATCAACTTTTTAGACAGTAAGAAAGTACTAACTACCCGTAATTTTAACTTGCAGACGAGTGCTGGCGTAAACATATAGAAGCAGCAGCTGCTAGGAACTATAAAATATGTCATTATGATGCATATAATGACGGCAGACTCAAATAAAAAGCGGCGATATTTATTAAAAATTTATTCGGATAACTATGTAAACATGGCTAAACGCTATGTAAACATGGCGTTTAGCCAATTACTCTGAAAAAGCACCGTACCGGCGAGCGGGAAAAGAAACTTGACAAAAATTTTAAATTTTCTTCTTTCCAAAAACTGTGCTGCTTTCATTTGGCATACAAAAGAAGAGAGAGTTAACGCGAGAGAAAGATTTCACCAAATTTATGATAAAAACCGAGCACTTACGTTTTCCGAGAGGTCGCCGAATGCATGTTATCACTAATCCTTTAAGCTTCCTGAATCTTTGTGAAACAATGTCTTCGACAATTGTTTCATAGAACAGAAAGCATAATGAATTACTTCAGTTTTCAAAACAATTCATTTGTTTGCAGACAACATCTGCGAAGAAGGGAAAAGGGTTTTCGTATCATACTCTCTACAACTCGACTCATATCTAATGTTATAAAAAAAAACCTGAGAAAATCTTTCAAATACCATGCATAACTGCAAATGTGTTATCGTGGATGATTTTAATGATCGATAGAAACTCACACTGAGACGAGAGAGAAAGTTATTTTCCATAAAAACAACCACCCTTATTAAATAATGTGCGTCTTTTTAGACACGAAGAAAATTACCGGCCATAATTTGTATCTAAATAGTGTCGTGCAGATCTGCTCAATTAGCAATCACGGACTACAATACATCCAAAAAATCCAATAATCATTCTGGTAAATCGTCATGTTCATACCCTGTCCTGTCCTATCCAGCTTTTTCTCGGGGCAAAGGAGTAAAATACAAACTCTTTACGCGGTCGTAAATTAGCACGTCTAGAAGAAGAACATCATTATTATTCAGATGACGTTTATTTGCTCAAAAAAAGAAAAAAAAAACGCTGAATAAATCTCTTCAGAACTTTGCTATTAGCTAATTTTGGTTAAGTGCTCTACTGATGTAATGTCATGATACTTTGAATTACCTATCATCTGTGTTTGTTCATCAGAACGGATATCCATTACGTGCGTAATGCCTAATACGCGATTAAACTACTACTTCATGACAGATAAACGACAGGAATAAATAATCCGGAGATGCTGTTCTCTTTAAATCACTAGTTTACATAGATCGTGTTTCCGGCTCAAGTGAACAAATTCGAAGCGAAACAGTTATTTTGGTTACTTCTCGCTAATATCTCCGCGAAATTCACTCGTAAGAAAATTAAAAATTCAAAAGAAAAAAATAAGCAGGTTGATGACATCTTCTTCAAAGGTAGCCACGTGAAAGTGAGGTTTCTAAACGCTGTCAGTCCACGTACATTAATACTTAGTCATAAACAACATTTTTTATGTTATCGATTATAATTGGCTCTAGAAAGCTCTACCTACAAAAATAACTTAATGCACATAAAATAATTTTTGCTGATATTGCAAACCCATTGATCTTTGAAGCTTTTTCTTCGGCCACCCCGATTAAATTTTTCATCTCAATCATCGATAGTAAATCAGTTACAAAAATCCCTACAAGAGCAAGAGAAAATTCTGTCGATAGAGGCCAATGTATTTTGACTACAGTAAAACAAAGACGAATAACCAAAACCTATTCCCATCATCGAAATTTGAGCAGACCACCCTTAGTCGTGTCTTTGTTTTCCAGATCTTTCCAGTACCGAACAATGAATGTAAGATTATAACTTTAGGACTAGTCGCTTAAGGTTCACAAGAGTCTTTGATTCGTTTGCATTGTAGACGAGGCAGGGGCGGATCCAATAATTTTTGATTGGAGGGGTCCAAACTTTGGTTCAGAAAGGACTGTTGGACTCTTTTGAGGCAAATTACTTCTGCCCCACACCTCCTCCCACCAGTCGCGGTTGCACGTTATAATTCCTTGGCAGCTTACCGTTTACTTGGATTCATTAAAAAGATCAGCTAGTTAAAAAGTGATATACGATCCTGTCGATGTAAGAATTTCAATTTTAAAGTTGTAAGCGTCAGGGGGGGGGGGGGGTCCGGAGCCCCCGGACCCTCCCTCTGGATCCGCCACTGCGAGGGGAGCATTGGAATTTTCGGTTTGGCCATATTTTTTAAATCAGTTTTTCGGTTTTTGTGCCCATATATGAAAAAAACTTCGGTTTTGGTATTCATTGCAATTTGCAGATTTTCCTTTTTTTTGGCATTTGGTTTTCGGTTCTCTTCCAAAATATATTTACGGGTTTTCGGGTTTGATATGTGCGATGTGGTTTTCGGTCTCACCTATTTGGGTTCCGGTTTCTCTTCGATCTGAGCGACAATCCCGTTCCTCCACTGATCTAGAATAGCCGCGAAACCTCTGTATGCTCCACTTGTCACCATTTTATCAGATCAATTAGGATTTTGATAAGTGGGATATGAAAACTTATCGGTTTTGACAGTTTTGCTTGTGGTTTTTGCTGGTGGTAATCGAATTTTTTTTGTGGTTTTGCGGATTTAGATGATTTTCCCTAGGTTTTTTTTGGTTTCTAATTGACCCCAAATGTTCCCCCTCCTAGATGACTAAGAAAAAAAAACAAAATCATTCCAAAAAAAAGTACAATTCTACTTTGCAAAACGACAAGTGAAGACCTGCTCCTCCATTTGAAGGAAGCCGACAAAAACGACTTTACTAGCTGTCCAGCTAATCTTGTGTGCATCAATTCCCTTACCTGTCAGTAGCTTTGAAAATTATCTCTACATCACCATAAGAGCAAACCGTGCAACAGAGACACTGATGGAATAACAATAAAGCACATCCTAAAATACTTTAACCTACATTGTATCAACGTATACACATCACTTTTAATAGCGCCATCACCCTTCTGAGCACGTCATGTATCATGTTAGATTGACATGCTTAACAAAAGGTAGTCATTAGCATATAATGTTTGCGTGGCAGTGATGTGCTGTCGGAGTATTTTAATCAGTTAAAGCAGCTGTATCCAGTTATAATTTACTAATGCCTAGGCCATCACGTAGGGTAAAGCTTACTTTTAAAGCTATTACTTAATGAATACCGTTTTTACTTTTGTTTTGTTTTGTTTTCAAGTCTTTCCTCTACAAGAGCTTGGTTAGCTTCAATTCAATCCACGGTAATATATCGCATACGTCGTTCATGTAATGGCTATATTTGCACTGACAACCCCGTAATCTGTATGAAACAATAATTTGTCAATGTTACACAACTCCTTTCAGATTTATTATTAGCAATTGCTCCTATATCAGTCTAGTTTTTGAAAACCGGCCGGGCGTCCAAACAACTTCCGCTTCTCTCACTATACAGTTGCCAAGTTAATGATCTGAGTTTACTGCAACGCCAGAATTCTACGTCTATCCATATACCCATATCTATGTATGCACAGGTGTCCTAAGGACACTAACGGCTATTTTTTAAGTGGGTCAAATATAGGTCTTGAACGTTTTAAAGAAACGCATACGGACTCGTATAACTTATGTCATTATCTGCAGCATTCACTCTGTTGGACTTACTTCCACATTTCCAGCTGAGCCTCTCCCCAAGAAATACGAAACGTTTAATTTAACGTCCCCTGCCTAACCAAATAACTAATTAATTAATAAATGCGGGAGACGGGACCTACGGTTTATTCGTCCTTATCCGAGAAGACTAGAATGTCTATCCATTCCTTGATATTATAAAAAGGTAGCACATTCTCCTCAGTTATTAAAAGACCTTGGGTGTTGGTCCGGCCGGGACTCGAACCCTCGACCTCCCGCACAAGAGACCGGCGCTCTAACCTAACCATTCATGCAGACCCATCCCGCTCTACCATGACTTTTTCTACGATTACGCAATCAATACAACTCATTAAGACTGAGAATGAGTGCCGTAGAGCCAGAATCATTATGAATACCTAACAATAACTAATCAGAAAAATCAGAAAAACTCTCTGGACTTAAATATAATTATTGAACTTGTCAACGACTAAAAGCTATACAACAACCATTCGATAACAAACGCTTTAATGATCGTAAATCACAGAGGTTGATCCACTCGTTAGTTTACACGATAAATTATTTACATCGAATTGTCGGCACTTTTAGTTTCTGAATTTCTCCTTCTGAAAAGAAATTATCATTAATTGTAGATAGATCTTCGCACAGTAATGATAAGATACAGATACACCAGCTCCTCGTCAGACTTCGCCTTCTCAACGCACACATGCAGTTCTGAGGAGCTGTACTTGTAGATTGCAGAAACAAACCGGTATGTAACTTTTTGAAAAATTCTTAACATTTGTTAATAGAAAGAAGCCTGCAAATTACGTCAGCAGTAGCCAAGACTTGATATACATGATTTTCATAGCTATATCGCTATTACGTAATAGCAGAATTACAAGGAAATGTATGGAAGATGTAGTTGAATTTTGAGAAGCAAAAAATTTGCACTATGTTGAATCAGAAAAAGAAGAGTGTGAACGATTCTAAACAAGGAAAAGAAAAGGATAAAGTTTACGTTGTTTCAGTCGCATTTTTCATTGTCCCTGTGCTTTAAGGTTCGATCCAGGTACCTTAGTTGTGGCGGGGAATTGTGAACCAGTAAGAAAAAACAAAAATAATAACCAGACAGAATCAACACCACCCAGATTAGGGCTTTATAGATTATGCTAGCATAATTTTTGGCATAATTTGAGCAAACTGGCATAGTTTCTGCAAAGTAGCAATGCTAGCATAATTCGCATATTTTGATAATTATCGAATAATTTTTGATGCTACAATTTGATCACAGTTCATCATCTACTCCCAAGCACTTGGTAACGTTATTCAACGTTTTAAGTTTTAGTTCAAGTTGTAGCATTTGTTGTTCACTGTGAATCACTGAGCAGCGTCTGAAACGCTCTGAGCCCGGGTTAACATGAACCACATGTTCACTTGAATTTCATTGAGGATTTGTTACGTTTCTTTCTTGTAGACTAACGGCTTCTAATTAAAAATGTATTTTTTGGACTTATTTGCAATTTTTTCAAAGAGCATAATTTATAAAAAGGGGCATAATTTGGAAAAAAGAGCATATTTTTAACATAATTTCGCGAAAAAAAGGAATGCTACTGGCATAATATGCTACTTTTACTTGCATAATCTTTAAAGGCCTAACCCAGATTACAATAGATCGATCCAAAAAGTTCACTAGATCACTGAAGACAGTAACTATTTTAATTCCTTGTACTTTTTTTAATTTCCAAGTTTCTAAATACCGGAAACTTATAATTACCTGTGTCAAATATTGTTAAGTTACCTAATATTAGTTAGGAGTAAATAATTACACCTAGGGCCTGCGCTACTCGTAGTTGGAGTGTCGTATCTGGCTATCATTCCGCGCTAGTCAGTATATAGCTAGGGTGGTTATAAAGTCAGTCAGCCGCAGTCTCGACTTTAACCCTGCGAAAGCGCTGGTAATGGTTACATAAGCGGTAATAATAACACTAAACTAACGATGACTGTACGATGACATTTCCTTCAAAATTATTTTATCCCTGTCATTTTCCAGTTCTTACGTCATGAGTAGGACATCGTCCATTATAAGTATCGCAGCCCTCCAAATGGCATTGTGTATTGTTAACGTTCTCACAAAGCAACAGAAAGTAGTTTGCCAAAAATTCGAGTTTACGTTGGGAAAAGATGTCGTCAACGATCACGCCCACGACGGCCATGCAATTGAGAGATACATAGTTAAGACAGCTGCACAATGTCACCTGATGTGCAGTGACAACTGTTTGTGTGTCTCCATCAACTACCTCCACAGTGTCCAAGAAAACAACTGCGAGTTGAATGACGCTGTGAAAGGGTGGGCTGAAATTCAAATCAGGAGCTCGGTACTATGATCTGGTTAGAGTGCATACAGTAGAGGTGAGAAGTTAAGTGAACCTTTTGTTTTACGTTACTACAATTAGAAAGACAAAAGAAGTGAGAGAAAAATTTGAAGAAAGTAACAGCCCTTCTATATTTAGGAAGTTGCAAGTAAAAAGGGGTCCATAAATATCAATTACATTGAATAAATTCCCCGGGCGCGCAAATTTGAGAATGGGGAAACCACTGATCATGACTCGTAACTTTGTTTAAATTTGGAAAAATAAAAAAGAAACAAACAAAAAACAGGGAGGCCGACCTAATGAGAAAGGAAAAGATGTATGCGTAAACAGATGCTGCCAGCCCAATCCTTGCATCTATGGAGCAGAGTGCCTTGAGAATTGCAATGCTGATGATGCCAGGTTTACGTGTAACTACTCCGCCCAATATACTGGACAGCGGTGTGAACACAGATGCTACAAAAGCTATAAGAATGCTAAAGATAACGGCGAACAGCAATCTGGCAGGTACCTGATTTGTAATGGAGAGATCGAGCCATTTCACGAGTACTGCGACTTCAGCTCATTGCCCGGCCTCATATAGACTCTTATACAATCTTTTGGTTACCATCGAAAGCGGTTTCGTAACCAGCCGTTTACGAATTCAGTGCTTACCCGTACGTGACAATCAGTCGGGTGATGCTATATCGAAGGCGCTCGTCGAGGGTCGAACACACAAATTTATAGTACAGCGGTTAAATATAAAATATGTTATGTAAGCTGTACCACTTATTCCCAACGAAAAGTTCAAACCCGAAATGTGTAAGATCGCACTGAACAAAGTATAAAGATATACAAAAACTAATACAAATGTTTTCAGTGTGTTTGAGCTAATTTACAAGGTTCTCAATCCGCTAATAAACCTAACAGTAACGTTTGAATTTTAGACGGTAGCTTCATCTCTTAAAAAGTAAAGTTTGAGAAAGATTCTCCTTGGAGCGTTAAGTCAATTTTTTTAGTAATGTAATACGAAAAACTTGTCAACACTGAAACATCAAATGATTCTTAAAATAACGAACAAGATTTTCAGGAGTTGTACACAGCCTAGCCTAGTCTTAAGTCAGTCCCACACTAGGAAGAATCTTCTCCAATATCAATTTACGTCACTAATCTGCAACGATTATATCCTCGAACTCGTCTCCTGTCCCATCGAAATAACCCAAAAAGTACTGGTCTTTAACAGAACAATTTTCAAGGTTTTCCTCAAGGAACTCAATCTCCGATTTGTTTAAAGACGATTGAATAGTCGCCGCCATGATTACGCATTTTAGTGTCTCACTGAAAAACTGTTTTCAGTTTTAAATGTCATCCTTTCGCGGGCTTTCGCAAATATTCGCGGGTTTCATAATTTCCCCGCTGACCAAACTTACCGTTTACTCTTACCCTCGACGAGCGCCTTCGATATAGCATCACCCCAATCAGTCAGAGATAGACTGGGACCGGTACCGTTTATCCTTGGCCCGTATGAGGCATCTTGCTACGCAGTCGACCAATCTTAGGGTGACGTGTAAATACAACACATATGGTCCTCAGTGCAAGGACTATGCTCAAGCAGAACTCGAACACCACAATTTCTTTGCAACATTCAACAGCAAATGTAGAGTTTACGAACGCATCTACATCCGAGGGATTGAATGTAGGAACTGCACCGCTCTGACCAGTCACCCAAGTGACCCCGCCTGGCACATTGATAACTACACAAGTTCAGCCTATGGATGCGATTTTGATGGAAAACCAGGAATGGGAGAGAGTGAGTATAACTTTGGATGGTATACTCTTGGAAAAGTAAACACAGATCACCGATGCACATCATCTAAATCGGCGACAACTCAACTTCTGGTTTGGTATTTTTTTTTTCATCCACCTTTTACTCAAAGTCTTCCCACTCACATTAATTTTTGGTGCTTTCCTCGATACATTTCTCATAAATTTAGCGCTTGGAGCTGGTATTGAGCCCTACCAGTTATTTTTTCTTTTATCTTTCTTTTCATACCTTGTTGCTTGAAAATACATATTGATATTTTATGAATATTTCTTTTTGGTCACTGACAGCATGAGTAAACGGTTAAAACAATAAAAAAGGCCACTTTGGTTGGATTCAGGTGCTCCAATAAATTCTGATTAAGTTTCTGGATTTTATGTGCCACTCTACCACATTAACAGAGCGTAATGTAAATCATTTCAAAATAATAATAATTCAGTTTCTTGCAAGGCTTCTTTATGGCCGGTGAGTAATATAACTTAAGGTATGGTATATGCCACTTAACCTGGGTAACACGGTGAACAGCTCAAGCAAATTAGTGTATGCGAGTGCGTAATTTGTATTCTAAAATAAGAGTGCTTCATGTAAATATGTGAATATCTGCGTATGCAGGTCACATATTATGTGATGTTTGCTAAAAGGTTATCTTATTATACAAGAATACCAGAGTTGGATAAAACTAGCGAGATATCATATTAACATAACATTGTGGGATTATTGGACCATGGATTTGACCGTTAAAAACGTTAACTCAATCATGACAAAATGACTTTAAAGCAGCAGAATGCAAGATTTTAATGGTCAGTTGTATCAAATTAAAAGCTTTGCCGTTCAGGAAGACGAAAACGTGTGGCCGTTTCCTAGTCAAATACCGCGATGAATATATTCGCACATGATCAAAATAAACATAATTTACCCTAAAATATTGTTTACTACTAAATGTTATAGTAGCTAGTTGGAAACGAAGTCAAATGGGGTAATTTTCGAGCTCTGATTTCTTGAACTTTTTTTTTCTTATCCTTCTTATTGCCTTCTCTAAAGTTCTAAAATGGTTCCAATGAGTGACTCAAAATAAGATAAATCTGTTTGGTAGACCTAAATGGAGAAATTGTGAAAGTAACGCAACGGCAAAACCAATCAGAAGAAAGGAAAATATCTCAGAAAGCCAATGAAACTCGAATTAAGAACAATTGAGCAAACTATCTAAAGATCTCTTAAGCGCGGGAAAGTACGTGTTTCCAAAGCGGGATTGGGTTCAGTTTTGTTTATGATTGGTAGAGCGATCGAGTGGCGCAAGTTTTCTGGACCAATCATGGAGCAAGGTAAAGCAAAATTAATGCAATCCCGGAATTGAAAACTGCTCTACTAAATAAAAGTCAAGTACTCGTGTAACTGTCATTGACAGCAACCTGTCACGGGGAAGACACTATGAAGCCCTTATGACCTTCTTAGCTCAAGAAGGAATCAAACGAATTATTAAATACATTGAAATCTTCTCGCTGAATTTTTTCTTTCAAAAATATAAAAAAATATAATTTCTCTTGTGAGCTCATTTGGAGTATGTAAGTTATCTAGAAAGGTAAGTTGAATGATAAAATGTTTTTAAGAATAACCAGCCAGTGGCAAAATGGTTTGATTCTACCAGTTCGTTCTGTAATTTGAAGATTGAAAATTTCATTTAAATACATTTGAAAGCGAGAATTCCGCGAATTTCTTCGAAACTTCAATTTGAGTTTAAATACACGCAATTACAAAATTGACTTAATTTATTGCCATTAGCAGTGCTACATTAGCTGAGTATCACTCTGAGAATTCAATCCTTCTCCTCAGGCCATGAAACAATTTGGAATTTTGTAGATACACTTGACGATAAAAACCAATTAACAGTAACGAATGTGGACTATCAGCAAACCCTGTGTTTACAATTTCAATTCAATATTGTTTGAATGATATTAACAGATATCGCTTCTTATATTTTCGCAAAGAAGAAACCAGCATCTCACTTATCTTAGCTAAAATACCCACTTTACATCAGACCATGAACTAATCAGGAATACATTGCATTTGTCTGTTTTTAATATTTTCAAATAGTTCTCCAATGTCTGCCCGTAAGTCTCACGCCTCAAAGAGATGGCTAGTTTTAATAATAACAACAAATTGGATGTTTCTTACCTTTGGTAGAGAGGTAAGTATTCACGGTAAAAAAGAACGTCAACACCTTAATTCTATATCGGATAGAACAGATCCAGTCTTAGGTTATGTGGGGGATAAACGGGAATTGGGTGGAGGGGGGCATTTGTAAAGTTTCTTCTTCATTAATTGTAAACTGCCGCTGGCAGTCTGGAAAAGTTTCCCGCACAGTTTTATAAAGTGCATTAGAACACTGCATGGAAATACGCTTTTGAAATTGATATTATTATTATTATTATCATCATTATTATTATTATTATTATTATTATAAACGGCAATGTAATGTGAGGCTATACTATATCAGATATTCAGAATCATAGTACTATTTCAGATGTTCACCATCATAGTACTGTTTTAGTAATGGCTGTATACACATAGCCATTGTAGAAAATAGATCGTTAATCGTCGACTATTCATCATCACCGTTGCCCTGTTTTTTTTCTTCATAGCTATTTCAACTTAATGTCAAATTTCACATTTGACATTCGTATCCGTGGTGAGGGGTATAAGTCTTAACCCTAGTTATGCAATTATTCATAGATGAGTACTTGTGGATTGCCTACAACAGGTCTTGAACCGACTCGAAATGTTCTCCATTTAGTGACTTTACTCATTATGTGGTCCATGTACTTTACTATTATCAGAATTGTTTCACGCATGACAATTTTATTATCTCCGAAAGGTACTTTAGAGGAGGTTATAGTTCAATTGAATCTGCTTACTTTTGATAAAAGATTATCTGGCAAAGTTGCCAGCCATTTCCCATTCGTTCATTGTTGGATTATTCTGAGTAAAAGGCATTAGGAATTTAACAGATGTCTCTCTAAATCCCCAGAATAG